TCACTTGACCCTGGGAATTGTGAGTATTACCCAGTACCCATACTCACTTGACTTTGGAATTGTGAGTACTACTCAGTACCCATACTCACATGCTAAAACAGTGTGAGTACCACGCCCTGTTCATAATCTCCTTCTTGAACAATCTCCCGTTGTTACCGGTAGTGAAACATAAATAATGCAAAAAATGCTTTTCGCATTCTTCGCCGAATGACCCAAAGATGGCATAAAAGCTGATTTCAACTTCTACAGTTGGCACTGACGTACACGTAGATGGTACACGTACGTACCGTACGTACATGTACAGTATTTCTCAAACAACAGTTCTGGTCATCTGCACGCAGCTCTGACGTCTACGGCTCCTCTGCACTCAGCCGAAAAAAAAGTCCATCATCGGTTGGTTTGGGTTGGATGTGGTTCTGCGGTCGAAGGTGGAGAGTGGAGAGGAACTGGGAGCTAGCTAATGGACAGAGCTGATTGCTAGATCTGCTCTCCTACGAGATCGTTTCCTGCTGGTGCTTCCTCCCTGTTCCCTGCTGGTTGGCCATCAGCCAGTGGCTGGTGGGCACTGAAGAAGGTTAGTAGCAAGTGAAGGTTGCTTGCTTTCGTTGCCACTCGAGTAGTGTGGTTGGCCACTGGACACCATCAGCCAATAAGCTTGCAACAAGATTTTCCAGGCCTGGGTTAAATAGGTTGGGTGCAGTACGGTACTGTAGAAGGAATGATCAGTGTGCTTGCTGTAGCAGTCTATGACTCAACTCTCACTCGCCCCTACGTGTACTAAATTTTTTTTCTGGTGCTCTCCCTACTCTAGCTAGCTAGCTGACTCCCCACAAGTAGCAGGGAACATAGTATTTTAGTATTCCTGGCTGAGTCCTGACTATTCCCAAGAAGCAAGCAAACAGCCAACAGAAGCAAAGCGAAACCTGGATGCCTAAGGCAGGCTCTAGCTAGACATGACCACCACCCAACTATTGCAATCATAGGAACCCACAAGCACATTCAACGGACGCAGCCAATGGAACAGAAGCGGAGACAGGCAGGCCCAATGGCTTCGCTCCTGGATGTGCCTAGCTAGCTACAGGTGCATCTAGCCAGACCAGGCAACGGGTAGCATCTGCACATCTATCTGCACTGCCAGTCACATACTGGACCTCTGTGGAAACTCGAGTCGTGCTTCTTTTCGTCTCCTAAATCCTTTTGATCGTCTCCTATTTAATGGATTTCGTCTCCTAAAAATAGGAGACGAAACAGATCGTCTCCTAAATCTTTTGTCTCCTCTTAAAACGTCTCCTATTTTCAACGGATCGTCCCTTATTCTCAACGGATCTCCTAAGTGTACCATGTAAACTGTATGGTATCGTCTCTTAAATCTTTCGGATCATCTCCTATTTCGAAATTTTCGTCTCCTAATTGGAATGTCTCCTACTGAATCGTCTCCTAAATATAGGAGACGATTGCTTTCGTCTCTTAAATCATTTCGATCGTCTCCTATTCCTCGGTGTATCGTCTCTTAAGTATTTTGCCACGAATGACGTTTCCACAGAGGTCCTGTATCCTTGGCCTCCAACAACATCTGTGTTGAGTGGTGCCACGGCCCCGCCGGATGGAATGCAGCATTACCTCATTAGGGTTAGGAAGGCCCTCCCCCAACGTTGAAGACGATCCATCAGCATGAGATCGAATCATTCATTCGATGGAAGAATCGAATCTTTCGAAAGATCGTTCGAATTTAGTTAGCTGAGCTACTAGTATCAAGAATCTCGAAGACTTCCGATGCAAGGGTCATCTTTCTACTAGTAGAGGTACGATGTACTGTTACGGTTGTCATCCGGAGCCAAAAGGTTTTAGCATGCCTACTTCTTCTGTCTCGTGAAGCAATGTTGAATGCACTGCGGCTCGGCCCACAGACTTAGCACGATTTCAGAGTACCATGGTTGGGTTGGAGGGATGGATCGTAGAATTATCCTGTACCTTGCAAGGCTGCATATCTCGATCCAGCAACTCGGATCTTCGTGTAGCACTACTAGAGCTGTTTGACAACGGACCAGCCATTCGTTCTCTCGTTCATGGGGCCTGAAGTACTCTAACTCGTTGGAATTGTGCTAGTCATTCACCGATTGGTTTGCTTAGATTGCTTGTAGCTAAAAGTGCCTCATCGCATCTACGTTGCTTCACCAGTCTCGACTAACCCGCTACCCACATTCCATTGGTGTGTTTTATGGCTACGAGAGTGCGGTGCTACGTCTGGCTGTTGGTCCGTAGCCTCATATTGCATCCATTGCCCTGTGTGGATTATGAATCCCACTGGAAACAGTGCACTGGCTTGGCTACAAACTAACCATTTCGTAGTGGGGGTTTTGCGAGCAATATCTCAATGTTACTTTATACAATATTAGTTATTAGTAAAGCAAAAGCAAAACCGAATGTTTACTCAGCATCAGGGAGGAGTCCGTATCCAAGAACTTCGTGCACCATAAGTCCGAGGATTCCCATCATAGCAGCACGTCCTTGGTTCAATTCGATGGTGCGCTTGTTCAATTTCTCTTCGTCTGAGAATCGGTCCCATCCGAAGTCAATGTATCCATTACGGAAGTCACCGGGGAATTCACCGTCTCCGTTGACATCCTTCATGACGAACATTTCCAAGAAACCGATGAATCCAACAAGTTGGAGCATACCAAGAGCGGGGATGGCTCCAAGAGCTTCAAGTCCGGCAGGGATGTCTTCGAAGCTGGTTCCGGAGAGATCAATGTCTCCTTCGATGCGGTTTCCTGCGTATGTGTAGATGTATCCAACAACGGCAAGCATACAGATGCGTCCGTGCTTGACCTCAACGTATCGGAGACGGTTGAACTTGGCTTCATCACCATCCTCGACAAGGCCAAGGGGATCGAAGAATCCAAGAGGAGCGGTGGCACCGAAGTCGTCCTCGAAAGCGTTCAAGCTAACAGAAGTGCTGGGTGCTTGCTTGCTGGGAGCAAAGGCAGCAGCCGAGGCGATAAGGGATGCAATGATAGCGGTCTTCATCTTGGATAGTTCTGAAATTAGGTTTTGTTTGACAGAAAATTGTGATTGATGTAAGGCAGGGGTTCTCGGTTGGTTGCGGTTCGTCTTGAGCTTCGTTGCTGACCAAGATGGTTGCGTCTTTGTCTCCACGTTGGATTTGGAGCCATTGGAATGTTGAAGGTATCCTCGGTTCAACTTGCAGGCCGGCGGAAAATGGGGAGTGCGTGACTTGGTAGTCACGAAATTATTCCACAGTATCCAGGACTCGATGCATTTGGCTTGCGCGAAAGAATCTTTGTCGACGACGATGGCCACCAACCAATGCGTTCTCACTCCGCACATTTTTCTCACAAGGCTACCGAAGAACGAAGAAGGTCCAGGCGATTGCATTGCTATCACTGGAAGGAACATCAATCTCTGAACCACAGATATCCCTATCACTTTATTTTGTGCCCAGCCATGCTCCGAGTACCGGTAGCCTCCTTCGCTACGGTGTCCGGCCGTTCCCTTATACCCAAAGGATACCCCAAGCTGCATTCGAGATGGATCCGCCAGATCAGATCTCTATCGACGGTAGCACCAGAATCTACTGAGCCTGTTTCGGCTGCTCCCACAACGGAAGAAACCAAGTCATCAGGAGGCCTGCTCAGTTTGCTGACATCCGAAGAACGAGATTTATTGTCACAGCAACGAGCCCTGATGCAACAAGCTCGCGATTTGACCAAGGCGGTGGGATCCGTCTCGGTCAAAGATTACACGGCCGCCTTGTTTTTGGATAATTTGGTCGATGAAACGACTTTTTCTATTGTGGTGGCAGGAGAATTCAATGCTGGAAAATCCACTCTGATCAATGCTCTTTTGGGCAGAAAAATTTTGGAATCGGGAGCCTTGCCCACAACAGACTCTATTACGATTATCACGCAACAAAAACTGGAAGAAAGTTCCTCAGATGGACATGAAGCAGAATTATCGGAGCAATCAGAGGAAGCTGATGCCAATGATATTAGCGTTACCCAACAGAAATTCCATGTGGCTGGCAATGACGGTGCTACTACCACTACCGGATCGGGCGTTATTGTACATCAGGTAGCAAATGTTCCCCTCTTGGAAGATCTGACTTTGATTGATACTCCTGGAACCAACGCCGTGTTGGCCGATCACACAGCACGCACACTCCGGTTGCTACCCACAGCAGACCTGATTCTCTTTGTCACCTCGGCAGATCGACCCTTTCCGGAATCCGAAAAGGTACTCTTGGCCAGCATCCAAAAGTATCGCAAATCCATTGTGGTGATTTTGAACAAGATGGACATCTTGGACACATCGGGTGGATCCTTTGGCAAGGAAGAAAAACAAAAAGTTGTCGATTTTGTCACGGATCATGCCGCGGATTTGTTGGGTGGACGACCCATGGTCATTCCTGTATCATCAAGAGATGCCCTGTCGTCCAAGGTCATGAATACGACAACTGCCACAAATATACCCAGCAACAATGTGTGGGAACGGTCCAACTTTGGTTCCCTCGAGTCGTTCCTTCGAGACAGCTTGACGATGGAAACCAAGATCAAAACCAAACTAACCAATCCCATTGGACAAATGGAGGGCATGGTGACGGCTAGTTTGGAGTCAGTGCGAACGGAACAGGAAGAACTGGAACTGGACGTTGCCACCATCAAGCTGTTGCACGGCCAATATGCGGCCTGGAAAAAGGAAATGGATATGCAAATGCTGGGCTTTCGAAAGGATGTGGCAACTCTGCTCCAAACAGAGGGGAACCGATGCTCGGTCCTCTTGAACCGAATGGGACTGTTCAAGTTTTTTCAATCGGCGCTGTTTGGAGGAAATGACACCGCCTCGTTCAAGGCAGAATTCGACAACACACGCCCGCATGTATCATCTCGCAGCAAGTCGTTGGAAGCAGAGTTGCTGGAAAGTGTGGAAGAAACTGCGTGAGTTCGTTTAATTGATTTAATTTGTGAGGGTGTCTGCTGCTTTACTTCTGCTATGCATCTCTCTAATTTCCAGTGCCATGATTGCTCGAATAATAACAGTGAGTCCATTGCCACTCGAGGCCGAGCACAAGGGCAGGCAGTAATTGAATATCTTGGCAAACGCCCTGCCATGAAGAACCAGAGCTTGGTTGGCAGCGTCAGTGCCGCTTCCAGATTCGAAGACACAAGGAAAATACTAAGCGACAAACTATCTGATGCGGTGATTACTCATGTGGCGTCATCGCAAGATGATGAAGCTTACGTGGAAAAGCGACTTTTCCGGTCGTTGCAACAAACTGCCATGGTCTCGGCGGGACTGGAAGTTGGAGCACTAATGTCAGGTCTAGCCACAGCTGCCGAGCTGGTGGATATCATGGCAGGAATGGGTAGCTGTTCTCTGCTGGCCATTGGTGGAGGTATAGTATATGGCCAGGGAAGACGAAGAATACAGAATGAATACAGAGGCAGCTGGAAGGAAAAGGAGGAGCTCTTGGATGAAGCACTGGAGGTAATATGTGCGAAGGAACTGTCTCGTGTCGAACGACGTATTCTGGACGGTGTTGCGCCGTACACGCGGTTCGTTGAAACAGAACAAGAACGGCTGGAAAAGTTGTCGGAACATGGAGAAAACATACTGGTACAAGCCCACTCGCTGAGGAACCGAATCAGCAAGCTGCGATAAACTTTTGATGGTCGTGAATGCAGGAGGAAGGGAGCAGGACAAACTACTAGTAGGGCCTACAGCTTGAATACTTCGCGACGTTGCATTGCATTCGTCGTTCCAAAATTACGGACAAAGGCTTTCCTTTGATTGTCTTTCAGAGAGGTTAGAAGAATGATTTTGGTGCGCTCGCTTGCGCACACCGGATACCATACAACCAGTCTCAAGGAAAGTACCATGGCACCATTTCAGCTGGCGCTTCCCGTCTCACAGGTCTAGCGCTTGATTTCTCACTTCAACTCAAGCAGCTCCAGCTCCAGGGAAAGCACTCACCCACAACAGCAGGAGGAGATATGTCGGTCAAAGGGTCGAGGTAGCGCTTTCCATTCGTCGCCTGTCAGTCACAGTTGCTCATTCACAGACATCATTTATTTCTACCCCAAGCAAAACCAACTACTAGAAAATATAATGATACAGAAACCATGAGAGTTTGCTCTTCTGCTCTCTCTCTGTTGCTGATGTGGGTTCTACTCTAGGAGCCACATCAGAGAATGCAATCTCTCTCAGCAACATACGCCTAAAAAGCGTTCCTCTTGAAGCCTATGTTGCTATCATTGGCTGTGAATGCACTTTTTTGCTTCAATAGTGTGATCGTGTGCTCGCTTCTTCAACATTCCCGGCACCAAAAAGGTTGACTGGGGATTGTTGAATGGAACGTTTACTCTGGTAGGCATCAGTCTGTTTGCATTCGAACCGCTGCTGGAAGATAAATTTAATGGGGAGAGGACTGATCGTGAACCGCAATGTTGACTCGACTCTCGCGGAAGAGATTGCATTCAGAAAGAAGACTCTCATGCTTCCTACCGGTAGTGCAAGCTCTCCAGCCGTGTTGTTGTCAATTGTCATGATGGTGATTTTACTGCGTCAGGATTGTTTGCGTTTGGTAGCAGCACGCTGGAATGAACAGCGACGAACTCAGCCCAGCTACCCAACAAGTTGCTTTTCATTGCATTTGGAACTGTTTGTCCCTTCCAACTTTTCTATAGCCAGTAAGCTAAGGAATCAATGAAAACGTCTTAATTATGACGTGGACTAGGACCACATCTCACCATATGGTGAAACAATCTCGGTTCAGTATAAGTCCATTCGTTGAGGAACCGAATCTGCAAGCTGCGATAAACTGTTGACGGCCGTGGATGCAGGAGGAAAGGAGGGAAGGGAGAAGCTGCGATATACTGTTGATGGTCGTGGATGTAGGAGGGAAGGGAGGAGGACAAACTAGGGCCTAGCTAGAGTTTGAATACTTCGCGACGTTGCATTCGTTGTTCCAAAAGCTTTTGTCCGTGCTTTCGTAGCTTGTCGCCCCACACCTGAAGCATCGGAGCTTTCCTTTTGTTGGATTCTTCAAAGGTTTCATTTCCGAAATGTTCCTCATCAACAAGCAATTCCCATGGTACGGAACAGCAAACTTCATGAATGTCACTGCAGATTGTTTGGTGATTCAACGTGCAGGCGAAAAGCATGGCTTGCAGATGATCCGTTTTGGCTGGTTGAGCCGGCTGTGATTTCACGATCAAAGGATTGTCCCAAAACTCCTCCAAGATACTGTTCGTGACATCTTCAAAGTAGCTTGGGACACCGGTCTCAAAAGCCTTGTCAACGGGAGGTGCAACCAGCAAAATTGGCATTTCGCTGAAACAGGATGGTGTCACGCTGAAGTAAGGTTGGAGCATAATATCATGAGAGCATGAGCCATCGTCAGTCTCAACTTCATCCGAGGAAAAGTACCATTGAGCTTCCAAAGGAGGGATGGTTCGCCCTAGATTAGCGGCCTCGATCGTCAACAGATCTTGCATGACGTGGCCTGTCCATGCAGCCTTTAACAGAAGCAAAGAAACAGGAACACACCGTAAAAGAAATAGCTGGACTCTCTTCAAGATGGAATCCAGAAGGCCAGTCGGTTTCGTAGATGAAGTGGATTGGTTTGGTGTCTTGTTGTCGTGTTGGTTTTCGTCTTGTTTTTGGTTTGTTGGTTTCCGGACATGCCAGGGGCTGTTTCGGCTACTCGCGAGCCCTGGTTTGACCAGCACATCTATGGAAGGGTGCAGGGCTATGGGTTGAATGCCGGGGCTGTCATCGGGCATGGAAGCCAGGGCTTCTCGCCGACTGCTGGCATACTGAGCCGTAAAGGGCGAAACGACAGGTGTGGAAGGTGCTATAGGAGTTTGATCCATCCATCGACTTCGTGAGGAGAGTTCCAGTATGGTAGATTCTTTCGCCGCCCGAAACAATGAAGGTGTCGTAGCAAGCCGCTGCTCCGCCTGCGGGCTCAGTAGACTACTTCGTTCCTCCTTTTCCAAGTACTGGTTTCGCATAGCCAGCAACTCACGACACCGTTTCGCGTCAAAGGGTCTGTCCTTTCCTTTGGCTGTTGGAGCAGGTGTTGTTGTTGTTGGAGCAGTTGTTGTCGTTCGTCGTGGTTGGTGAAGAGACCCCTCAACATCGAAAAATACAGTTGCGTCGTCTTCAAATGATCGCTCATTGTAGTTGTTTTGAATCACGCTACTGTAATCATCCGAGATGCGGCTACAGGACTCCGGATCTGAGAGAATCACTGTTGGAATGGAGGAACTTCGGGGTGTCTCTGCAATGCCCTCCGAGTCAGATGATGATGATGGTGATGAAGCAACATCATCCTCATCACGTTCAGAAACTTCGGCATGCTCGGAATCCTGAGAGACTGAAACATTGCTGACTGATTCATCAATACTGAGTTCTTCCGCAATAGCTATGCTGTCGCTGTCATCTTTTTCGTCCATGTTCCAACTATCACCTTCTTCATCACCATTGTGGGTCAACACGTCGTCACCAGCAGAAGTTTCGTCATCTCCCTCTACGACAGGTAGATGATCATCCTCTTGTAACTCCACTTCCGAATCAATCGATAGTTCTTCCACCACAGCGCTAGCGTCGTCTTCCACCACATCACCTCCCCGATCCGCAAAACTGTCATGACTAATGGTTTCCACCAGCATTTCTTCTTGGCTGGTATATCGGTGACGATCCACTAGAAACTCAAAGCTACCCACAGACTGTGGGGTCTGTGGGGTACCGCACTGTGGCTTCCGTTCTTGTTGTTGCAAAGGATCATCCAGCGACTTGGTTTGGCGCAAACTACTGGTTTGGTCGCCTCGTTTGGGGGTATCCAAGACATGCGCCTGTTTGATGCGTGCGGATTCCAGCAGTGATGGTCGTCCCAACAAGAACCGTGAACCCAGTCCTTGTTGTTTCTTCTTGTGTGGGTTGTTGCGTGGAGACAAATTGTCGGCCGCCCTCGCAGCCGCCAATCTCGACTGTTCTTGCGCTTTTTGTTGCAGAGCTCTTTGTCGTTCGGCTTTCTGTTGTCGTCTCTTCGTCCTAGAATAAGGTGATTTGGTCGCTTCGTCTTTGTTATTATATCGCGTTTGTTCTCGAGAAGCAAATTGGCGATTCTCGTTGGGCGTGGAAGGTGGAGACTTGGCTGGAGGACCCCATCGTGGCATTCCATGTGGGTACTTTAAATTCCTCTGATACTCTTGTTCTTCTTCCTCCTTGTCTCGGTTCAAGAAGGGTAGCGATGGAGAAAATGCAGCGGCTGCCTTTTCTCGCTTTTTCTGGGGATCTGGTAACACGTAGACAAATCTATCTTCGCCATAATTTTTCACATGGCTGTTCAGGTTGGGTGTGGAACGTGGTGCATCTTGTTGTTCATTCGTTGTTGTTGCAGTAGTGTCGTTCATACTCCTCCAACGCCGAAATGCATCTCGACGCTTGGTATCTTCATCTTGTTCTTGCGTGGATAGTGCACTCCGCGCTCGTTCTAATTGCAGCTTTCTCAATCTGGAGCCGTCAAAACCACCGCGGTTCGCCGAAGAAATTGGATGAGAGCTCATGATGACGGATATGTTTGGTTTCTACTAAATCTAACAGTTGGACTGGAGTGATTTCTTGGTTACTTCCTCATTCAAGCGACACAACACGCCATGGTTCCAAAAGAGGTCCATCAGCGAAAATGATGTTGACAACTAAATTCTCGGAGTTTCTCGAAGATCCAAACTGCCATTTCGATCAAAGTTCGATCGATACGACTCGATTCGATTCAATTGAAGATTCAGCATTCGAATCAATCGAAAATCGCCCACCTTCCCAGACAGGGAATGAAGAGATTCTACAGAACGGAGAGTATGAGTTAACAGGGAGCCGACCATAAGGGAGACTGACGGACAGGAATCCGGGAGAGCCACCCATCCAAGGATGAGGTGGTGGACCGAAGTGTCGGGTGCACAGGTGGTGTGCATATGTGGTGTTGATGACTAGCTAGAAGGACTACTAATCGGGCGGCTACAAATCAGGTTCACTTTTTCTGAACCAGAGTTGCAGCCGCCCGACACCAACTTTCCTTTTTCCCTTCCCTCCCGCCCGGGTAAATTGGATGGAAGTAGGTCTGTCTGTGATACATGCAGCAGGCCTCTCTGGTTATACCAGGGCCATTGCCTTTGCCTGGAGCGTGCCTCAATCGTGCATTGGGCGATTTTTTAGGGTAGGATTTAGGATCGGATTTAGGGCAGAGTTTCAAACTCTGCCCTAAGTTTCAAAATCTGCCCTAATTTAGGGCAGAGTTTCAATTTAGGGTAGAGTTTGAAACTCTGCCCTAAATTAGGGCAGAGTTTCATAGTATTTACTATGCAGTCCCGTTTCGTTTAGGGCAGAGTTTCAAACTCTACCCTAAGTTTCAAACTCTGCCCTAAATTAGGGTAGAGTTTGAAACTCTGCCCTAAATTAGGGCAGGGTTTCAAAACTCTACCCTAAAATTAGGGCAGAGTTTCAAACTCTGCCCTATTTCGAAACTCTACCCTATATCCTGGATTCCCCTTTTGAGGCACGCTCCTGGATCCTAGTCTGGAGGGGAGGTTTACAACCTCTATAGACCCATGTTGACATGATCTTGCTATAGTCTAGTAGCTCTACTGGACCTAAAAGGAATCTCGTGGGATCGGCATCGCAGCCGAGCCAACTCATCGTGCAATCAGGGCAATCTTCAATTGGGATGCTGCAATGTACAGAGGCATCCTCTCTGGCTGCATGTGTGTGCTTGGAGCCAAATTCCAAAGTCCCAACTGCTGGAGTTCCTGGCAACCCCACACCATCTAAGAAGCGCAATTGTAGGTAATTCTGAAAACGAGACCTCAGGTCTCGTTTGGGAAGCACATCCCAACCTTCCTTCCGAACCAAGTCCAAGGTTCCAATTAGGCAACCGGTGCTCCAGGTTGGGAAGTGACGTACTTTACAATCTACTACTGGCAGGGGAAACAACTCAGTACGTGGTATGTTACCCTTTGTGCCCATTGGTGTATCCAACCGTTAAGTCATTGTCTACTAAAAAGAGTCACATCGCCATCCGTTTTTGGATGGTCAGACATGAAGAATGCATTCCCAACAACAATAAGATCCTGCACAGAGGGGCTATTAATCGCAGAGGCGTTACCTACCAAAATGGACCTGCAGGTGGCCAAGTTTAAACTAAAACCAGCTAAAACGAGATAAGATAGGAAAAGAGTGGGAATATCAAAATGCTAGATTGTTACGCTAATCCAAATAGAGCAGTATGAGTCACCAAAAAAGAGGATCACCGTAAAGATCCTCATGGTGAAAGGGGTGAAAAGGTGAAAAAGGCTACCAGATGGGCAACCACCACCGACCAAATTAACAAGATCAGCAAAAGGAAAGGGAGGCAATGGGTACCGAAAAAGCACCGGAAGGCTTCCGAACAGAGAGAACTGGGCACAAATTTCTCACAAAAGCCCTGCCAAAAAGCACCAAGGGGAATCAAAAGGCGGCCAAGGGCTTCCCATTCAATGGGGCCTTGGCTGCCATTGACAACCTGGAAGGACCCTAGTCACAGTCCCCAGATCATCGTAGGAACGCTTGCCCTTCTTCTTCTTCTTGTTCACGGCATCCGGATCGGCTGTGGTTTCCTTTCCACAATATTGCAACATCCATTTCAGCATTTGTTGTTCTGCATCTTGGGCATTGGGCTTGGCACGGGCATCCTGAACCTCAAGCTTGAGGGCATTGTAGCGCCTTCGGCCTGCATTGGACCAACCTCCATATTTGGCATTGCCCACCTTGGAGTTGTAGTACTTGGTAGCAAACTTTTTGTCTCCGAGTCCTTGCTGCTCTTGGGGGCAGTCCATTTCTTTCTGCCACAGTCATGTTCCCAGGCTGGAAGCAGAGTTCCATCTGGTGTAGGAGTTCTCGTAGATGAGGAGGTCATTGCCTCAGATCCGGAGGAACACACAGCTTTCCCTTCCACTTGGCCACACTAATCAACTGGTTGTGGCGGATTGACTCCCTAAACAGCTGGATGCACCAGCAACACATGGCAAAAGCTTCTCCGTGTAAAGGGAAGAATGCAGCTTGATTTCCTCACGCGCTGCCTTTTCTTGTGCACTGGCATCTTGGGCAAGGTCTTCAAGAGGAACTCCCGCATCACCACAGCTTTGCTGTTCCGGAGTTGGCATCTTGTCGAGTCCATGTGCAGCACAAAAGTCCTCGTCTTGATGTACATCTGGTTCACGAGAAGTTGCGTTGCTCTTTCATGATTGCCGTGATAGCATCTTTCCAATGGCAACCCATGCGGCGCGCCTTTCCTTGATCACTGTAAAGAAAGAGAAGAACAACGGTTCCAGATTGGTCAGGTGCACTGGCAATTAGACAACCAAAAGGTTCCCGATCGAGTAGCGAGAACTTACCCTTGTCCTTCTACGGTCGCCGGTCAACAAGAAGGCCTTTTTGCCCAGTCGATCCAGTAAAGATAGGCAATGGCTTCTTCCGATTTCTCGCTGCTAAACTTCCTGTCAATCAAGGTATTCTTCTTGAAACAGCCGGAAGCTAGTATTTAATCATTACTCCCCTTGGGTTGTTGCCAAGGGCCTCTTCCAGATCGAAGTTGTCAGGTTCCCATTCCTCATCGGCTCCTCCTTGTCGGCTTCCTCATTCTTCTTTTTCTCCTCCTCGTACAAGTAATGTAGTAAGTACCTTCTCACTATCTTTCAGAGACTCCACATCTTGTCATGGTCATCTTTGTCTCTACAATCATACGAGACTTCCTCTGACGGTTGCTCGACCGGGGAGTGACCCCTTTCTTCTTTGATCCTCCTTTTCCACTCATTGTTGGACTATCAAGATGGGATGTGCGACGCTTTTCCTTCCCAGAATGAACCTGCTTGGATAATGGTTTGCCAGTGCTCGTGGAGACTCCAGGTGGTGGCCTGTTGGATTTTTTGGACTTTTGCCGTCCGGATCCGGATCGTTCGGTACGTGCATTTGGAAGTGTGGCCTTGGCGTTTGGTAGCGTGCCCGTTGTTGTGGCGACTGCTGCTGCCGGATTGGGATGAGTGCGACCTTGCTGATTGGGAGCTTGAGGATGACGAAGCAGTACTCACAGAGACAGATGAGGACTTCGACTTCTTTTTCTTTGGCTGGCTGGTCCGGTGGTGATCTTGATAGTTCTGCTTGTCGCTCTCGTCTGCACTGTAGAAATCTTCTTCTCCACGGTTGCCACCACGGTGCTCATGCTGGCCGTAGCCTCCCTGGTCGTCTTCAAAGTAACTCCCTTCTTCGTCCTCAAGATACTCGTCTTCGTGTTGCTCTTCTTCAGATGCTTGTTCCGCTTCCACAGGCTGATGAACGGCGCCAAAAATCCCATTGAGTAGCCACACAGGGCCGAATGATGGAAGAAAGGAGTTAACAACAGTGGAAGAGCAGCAGAGTGAGATGCAGAGGTTACCCTATTCACTGGCAGGAGATCGATTTTATGAAGAAAACTGAAGAGCACCGACTGCAAACTGCAGTCAACTCCTTCCGTTGCGACCGATCGATCCTCATCTATTTCGTGGGGCTCCACGGTTGGGCCATACTTAACCCGACACCAGTAGCTCTTACTTAGTACGATTCCTACGAGACTGCGCATCCTTGTGTATGGAGTTGATATCAAAAGTAGTCACAAGAACGGCTGGTTGCAACTAACGCATTCAGTCAATGGGAATCGGTGCTAGTACATGTGTGTCTGTACGTACCCTCCTCCATACTCATTCTGCTGTGAAAAGCTTCTCTACACCCTTAGGTAGCGGTTAGGCATGTATGTGGTTTCTTCCACTAATGTAGGCATTCCAATAGGAGCTGTGGATGTTTTGTGCCATGAGCTCCTCTCGAGTTGGCATTTTGTCACCAACATCTTTTGCTCGAAGCCTCTTGCGCGCCATCTGAGATGGTTTTTTGGTTCAATTTGTGACCTCGCACCTCCCTGATTGGAAAGTAATTTCCACGATTGTTAACTGTTTAAATTGTCAGAAATCACGGGAGTGGGGTTATATAGTATTCAGAGATAGATTTATAAGATTTAAAAATCGATTTTTCTAGTTAGAGCTCTTTGATCCGTGCGACCATTTTGAAAGTTGGCTGGCTTGTCTTTTCTCTGCAAATTACAAAAAATGAGGAATGGGCGCAACCGTTACCGATTGGGTATCCCGGGTCCAAATTGGTAGCTCTATGAGCCGATCGGCAGCAAAGTCTCGTGGAACGAGGAACACCGTGCCTATTCTGTCACATTTTCTTGCTAATTGTTAGGCTAGATCTAGCAAACCGGACATGTCATCTAACCAAGAGGGGTCGCGAAGCCATAGAAGGAACTCCTCTACCCACTCAGACCTGGGCTTGACTTTAAAATATTACAGCTTGGCTTTGCACCGATGTCTGGGACCACACACAAGTGGGGAGGCAATGGCATCCACATCCGCAAGGAAGAATCGCCGTTTTAGGACCTCACCCGTTTTCTTATCGACCTTTGCATCCTTCTGGAGTGGTACAAACAGGTCTGACAGCATCACTTCCTTCTCTTCTGTCACCCAGTGGGCATTCTCTATCACTGCATAGGTCCGTTTTCCAGGTGGATACCCCCGATTTGGTTCTACGGGCATCAGATCGTCATCAATCCCTTCCAGTGTCACAAAGCACTGGATATGACCTGGCAGCTTCCCATACCCACCATCCTCCTCTCTCCCCAGTCAAACAAGGCCCAGTCTCTCCACTTTCCGCCTCCTCTGAACTTGGGATGACCATAGAATATTTGGCCGTTCCGTTTGTGCTGAGTGTAAATTGGGAGCTGATAGTCATCCATGTTCTAACCAATATCTTCCATTTCCTCCTGCAGGTCCAAGAGGAACTCAAGCAGCTAATCACCCACATTGACGGTCGACTTTCCACATCGCCCTTCTTATAATCCTCTTCTTCCTCCTTGCGGGCCCCTATCCTTCAACTCAATCATGCATCGCCATGTCCACCATAGTACACCTCCATCATGGCTCCACCCGTCACAAGGTTCTTCCTGGTTGGCTACACTTTTTGGTTCCTGGGTTGGATAGTCCTTCCTCGTGGATTGGTACTGCTTTCCAGTGTGGAGGTTGAGGATCGAACCATCGTCGTCGCCTTCGGGAGGCAGTGGATCAAACCTCCATAGTAATCACACAATCTCCGACCATTAATCTCGGCAATGGCCCACTCAACCAGTAGGAACTCTATCAGTCTGGTTGCCGTTTGAAGTTCAAATGTCAACAGGTTCTTTTGGGTGAGCTTGGCTGCAACTTTGTTACTTGTGTCCACTTTCGTTGCTTCCGGTGTCATGTTCCTTGGGGACACCATACAAAAGGATATCCCTTGCCATGTGATTTATTGAGTGGAACTTGATTACTTTCAACCCCATACCTCCGTCGTCTGCAGATCTTGGCAAAGAGGTACATAATGAACGATTCTTGCGTCCAACCTCTTAACATCGGCAACCCTCATCTTGGTTCGCAAAGGAAAGCTTCCATTCTAAAAGCGACTCCACCAGCAACAACCAGTCTTTGACATGCCTTCCTCCTGGAAATGCTTGTTCTTGCTCAACATTTCACGGCCTTGGTGGATCTCAAAACAGCACAATCAGTAACAAAACGCTCTCGGTACTCATTGGCCATGAGCTTCTTCTTCTGCTTGATTCCATGGGTGAATTTGCAATTGGGAAGGTCTCGTTCAGAGTTGTGACGGAACAGGGCACCATATTCCTGTGCCAAACATCAATATCCTTAGCCAACTGTGAAGTTGGGCCGATTTGGGCAAAGAAACACTCTCTCACATAAAGAAGATACCCAGATGGAGGCATGGAGCATCTCGGAGGGGCATGCACCATGAATTCCTGTATCATATTTCGGATCGAATCGGACCTTGTACAGGCGTTGTCAATGTACTGCTGCGAGATGGCTTTCAAACCTTCCAAGTCCTTTTGTGTCGATGAGGTCCATGATCATTGAGATGGTCTTGGCTTCATGTTTCGCATTTGGGTCGTCAGTTTCTTCATTGGGACAGACACAATATCGACACAGGTGCTTCACATTGTTCCCCCGCTCCTGTACTTTCCACAAAGCAGTTCTGCCTCATCGTGTGTCAGCCCTCACCATTGCATTCCAGAACACCAGCGTCTTTTTTCGGTAGAGCTTTCCTCCGTAAGGAAGGTCCCATACAATCCCATTCGTCTCCAAGGGGATGTAGTTCTCAAGATGGTTTCAATTTGGGATGGAAGTCTTGCGCTTTTGTAACTTTATTGGAGGTTTCTCCTTCCCTACCCACAAACTACCTTCAAATCCTCAAGTGCTTGTCATGACGAGAATCCGCAAACATCTTCTTTCCTCTGGATTTACCTTCCGAATAGTTAACCACAAAGCCAACAATCGCCCAGGCTTGATCCTTCTTCCGATAGTCAAGGGTGAAACAGGATAATGACATCTTCAAAGCGGTGATTGAAAGGTTGTCAAACTGGCCCGTAACTGCCCCATCAATGTAGAACTGGACCCCAATGCCTATCTCATTCTGTGGGTCATCCACGTATTCATTATAGGCGTTTCGGTATGCCTCGCCCGTGTTCAACTCACCCACATAGGTCGCCTTTTCAGGTGGTGGAGCCATCGGATCATCATTGAAAAAGCAGAAATCCTCATCTGTGAGGCGTGGATCGGTAAGCAATTGCTCCAACAATTCCGAGCACTGAAGCAAATGACTTTGATCCGGGCATTGCAATGAGGAAGGACTATCTCCTTTTCAAAAGGTAACTTGTCGCTCATGTTGTACCTTTCCTTAAGAATTCGGAGCAGTTTTTTCCTGCTGAGGTAGTCTGGATTCTTTCCCAGCTTTTCGTTGTCCATTAGCGACCCAGTTTCCTCCAAATGCCAAGCAAGTAACATCATCATAGGTATCCAGAGGTGTCCTTTTCCTACGGAGGATATCCATTATTTGACCCCTCGCTTCTCCGAACGGTTAGCTCGGGTAATTTCTTTGCCTTGACACAGTAGGCTCTGAATGCGTTTATGTTGCTTTCGTCTGGGGGGCCGGTATCATCCAAGTCTCTTTGTTGTCACCTTGCAATGTGGCAACTGACCCTTCCAAACTGAGCTCACTGTCCTCACTGGTAGGCTCACTATCCGAATCCGCGTTGAAACGATCAATGTTGGTAGGGAAATCACCATCCTCATCTAGCTCCCCATTTCCTTCCCCATCGGCGCCCTTTTTGTTGCCGATTCGAGGATTTGCTGCAGGTTTCCGATGGTCTGTGTCTTCTTTGGAACCACCACTACCTTGGAGTGAGGCCTGGCATGGGCATCCTCGTCCTGCAATCCTTGTGGGAATGGCTGCCCTGGAATCCTTGTCCTCTTGCTGCCTTTCTTGGTGCTTTTGCGGGCCGACCGGTGTCAGTGAGACCAAGCTGATCAGCTCTGGCCCTTGATCTTGTCTGTCTAGCACCTATAGGATTGAAAGCAAGGTCCAAACCAAGGGCTTTCTGCATCAGTTGGTGGCAGCGCTTGTTCTGTGTGCATGTGAGATTGCTGATATCCCACAGATTTGAATTTTTTATTGCAGTAAGGGCACTCAAATCCTTCTTTGATGATGCCATGGCTGCAAGCTAGCTAGCCAACACTATGCTGCTACTAGTACTAGCTGGCGCACTGGCTGGTGATTTGGATTCTGTGTGCTGGGGAACCGCCCGCTTACCAATCGGGATATAGTTTATGGTACCAAAGAGAGGGTTTGCCTTCCCGAAAAGACGGTCCAAAAAGTGGATCCCAAATCGTGAAGCAGGCAGTCTTGCCGGGCGGGCCTTCGTTGCAAGCCCATGTGGAACACACAATCCCGATTCCAATCACTGCACGCATTCTTGGAAGAAATTACGTCACGGATCGGGATCGTGCTGGTTGGCGTTTGGTACCTGCACGCATGTCGATTCTAGCACTACCTAAAAATGCGCTTCTTAGATGACCCTCTATTTTGATCGGTATTGAGAGTTACGAACCATGTGTAAACAAAACACTATCTTACCACTACCTTACTTTGTGCTTCCCAATACTAAAGCTTATCATGTCCTTTGGACTAGTTTTCACACTCTCTCATAGTTCAACCAAGCTCAGTCTTCACTTGGAACCTCCTCGGCCGTGGTAGTCAAGTCAAAGAGCTCAAATTCCTTTGGGGCCACCATTGTCACACCACCTGCGACAAATCCCTCCCTTTTGAAGCGTTTTGGTTGCACAGGAATGTTCTGATTAGCAGGGCGCTTGCAGGGATGCTTCATGCGAGCAGCTTCCCAGTAATCTGGCTTTTGCAGGACACCCTCGTTAATCAAACCCCAAACAGTGCAGTAGTGGATTGTAAAGGTTTGGAGAAGCTTTCCAGGCATGTAGGATGTGTATGTTTCTTCAAGTTGCCTTGTTTCAATGTTGTGCCCCTTTCCAGAACGCACGGCCTGCTTTGTTTGGCCAGGTGATAATCCAGTTGCATCGCTGTCAATTGCCGCCACATCCATTGAGCTAGGGGAATGGTCCACCCTTTTCTTCGTACATCTGCTGATGGTTTCTAAGATCTCAACTTTGACAACACCAAAAAGGGAGTTGCTCCCTGCAGATGAAGCACCCCCAACAAGAGTAGGTTTCTGAAAGGATAATGCCTGAGACTTTTGAACTCTGTTTTCAACTGACCAGATTCCTCTGTACCGTTTACCACCCGATTTGCTTTGCGAAGACCTATAGCTCAACTTCTTGCCATCCACAAAGATTCGGATCAGGAACCTTTTCTCAGGATCATCTCCACCAACCACTTCTGTTTCAATAAAGTAGTCCAGGCCTGGCTCCACCTCTGCATAGATCTTGCCATCTGGGCCTCCATGTTCCTTGAAAGGCTCCTTTGTCTCTGCATTAACAAGACGTACAGAAAAGTTTCCTAGAGCAACCATGTTGCAAGTGATTCTCAAGAGCTGAAGAACTGCTGTGGTTTGCGGGTAGAAATGAACGAATTGCTAGAGCGCCTCGGATTTGTGAGCCTTCTACCAGCGCCAAAACAGGTAAAGTAAAATAAGACAGGTAAAGTTGTGTAGAAAATGTACTGAGCCTACTCAAAAGGACCTGTCGAGGACAGACGTTGGGATTGGATTTGACATCTGAATCACGATCTTTTAAGCACGACTCAGAGCTCACATTTTCAGACGAAGAGTTAAGAGATTCAATAAAAGAATTAAAGTTTTCACTCTTTGCAACAGGTAAAGTTGACCTGTTTTGGCGCTGGTAGCCTTCTTCGGCCCAAAATTTTGTACGCAATCGCGCCGGGACCGCTTCGTTGGCCTGGCATCAATTCGAATCGAATCGAATCATTCGTTGAACGATACACAATATCCTCGTAGTTCCCAAATTGGAGCTGTTACATTTATTTCATGTATGTCATACATGATGCATGCATAGACGGAGAGGAGGTCGTAACGTCGTAGCAAAAGCATCCGTCCTTTCGCACGCCCGTTTCCTCACCGTGGCAACTCAGCGTGTACTGATACCGCTATCCACCCGCCGGGCAACTCATGACCACCGTATCTTCCATCCATGCCGTGGCAAAGATAAAGCTTGAGGACAGTGGCGTTTCTCCAGCACACTCCATGCGTGGAACTCGGAAGGAGCATCCTGATCAGTGACAACCCAAAAAAGTAGGGTACCGTACGGTACCGTTATGGTAATGCAACGGTGCTCGGCGGCACCGTACGTACTGTAGCGGTGGTGGGTATGCATTGCTCCTTGTGCTACGGGTACCCGTACCAGGTACTAGCTAGTCTAGTACCGGTACCGTGCCGTACCACAAGTAAAGTACTAGCTAGCTCTAGAGCTAGTACACGTGTAGTAGCGTGCCATTTATTTGGACACTTTTTCTCTCCTACTGGCTAGCCAGTCCATGGGCTCCCGTGACTACAATTCGTGACTCCATTTGTCACTAAAACCCGTGGGACATCGGAAGCTGGCATTCAAAGTTTACCGTCACGCCTCACTCCTCTCCAATGCAACAGGTCTAGCTAGCTACCGGTAGCTATCCGATACAGGTTGCAAGTGACCTCTTTCGAAGACACAAAGACACAACCGGTAGCTGGCTTGATAGCTCTAGCAATCCTGCCTTTCGGATCCAGCCCTTTGGGTATCTTACTGTGGATTGTTTGGATCTTGGATTGATTCATCATTCGATTCCCGCGCCTCTGCCACCAAGTCGTCGATTGGATGGATACCCCTCCATAGTATCTTGATCATCCGCCAATAATCACTGCTACGGTACAAACAACACACTTGACCATGGCCACGGCATCTCCAAAAGGCAAAAAGGCTCGTGCCCGCCTCAACAGCCGAATCCGGATCTTTGCCATTTTATGGTTTGTCTTGGTGGCAGTCACACTGGTCTGCCTGGTATTCCTGTTTCGCAATGTCATGAATTATTCCTCGGCCGATGAACCTCCGAGTAGTGGCGGTCTGTTGTTTAGCATCCATGCTGGCAAGAAGGGAGACTTTGTTCGACATTACGTGCACGATTTAATGTCCAAAAACAATAAGGATCCCGCACGGCAGGCCAGTGAAGTAGTTGACAACAATCCACAACAAGCTAATAGCAACAATCTCGTTGGTGCAACTCTACCAAGACCCAATCCCGAAGAAGCCGTTACGGTCGCATATGCCGTGTCGGTTACTGGCTGTGGAGCGGATCCCTTGACCGAAGGAGCTGCCGTTCTCAAACACTCGATCCATCGAGCATCGATTCGGGGAGACATGGGTGGACGCTACAATTACAAAATGTATGCCATTTATCATCCCAAAGCCATTGCTTGTGCTAAAACATTGGAAGCACTGGGATATGAATTGCTGGAACGAGAAACCTTTGTAAAAGTGTCGGAAATTCAAGGAGAATTCCTGCGAAACAATATTGAAAAGAATGGTTGTTGTGGAGAAAAGGAGTTCATCAAGTTGGAAGCCTACACGTTGATACAGCATCCCATTGTGGTTCATTTGGATCTGGATGTGCTAGTGCTGAGACCACTCGACAATTTATTTGATGTCATGATGGCGAGTGAACACAACAAAGGGGCCGATGTTCCTTTGGATTTGAGCCATATCGAACCCATGTATCCGCCCAAAGACGGAGGGCTGGTACCGCACCAAGTCAATGCCTTCTTTACTCGTGATTGTAAGTAGTGAGACGAAGGGGGGACGGTTGTATTCTTTTGCCGGCTGTGATTGCTTGTCGTGAACTGACGTCTCTTCTACTGTTGTTCGTTCCGTTTTGTCCCAAAAAAAGACAACATGGTCAGTTCCAAGAAAAAGTACAAACCGGTACAAGGTGGCTTTCTGGTGCTTCGTCCATCCATGGATGTGTACAATGAATTCAAATCAATTGCACTAAAAGGAGACTTTCGATCCAGTGGTGGATGGGGTGGCATTGTTGGTCCCTTTTATGGAGCCATGACATTCCAAGGGATCATGCCATACTTCTATGATGTTCTTCATCCCGGGCAAGCTGTGGAACTGAATCGATGTGTAGTGAATAACATGGCCGACAATCCACGCGACAAGAAAACAGTGAATGATGTTGTGCATGGAAATTGTCGAACTGGAAAAGATGAATGCGAAGATTGCCGCACCAGGGACATTGAACAAGTGCTGACAACCCACTACACTCTGTGTCAAAAACCTTGGATCTGTATCCCACACGATCAGAACATGATTCAACATCGATTATGCCGCAAACTACACCATGAATGGTTTAGAATACGATCCGAGTTGGAAGCGTCCTGGGGACGCTCCGGCAGCGGTGCAGGGGAATGGCAGAAAGACCAATTCATGGGCTATTGTAAGCAACCAGGAAACAAGGGATATTTACCCATTGCCACCCCGTATGGAGTAGCAGCGTAGTAACTAATAAAACGACTGGCCTCTCCAGCTAGGCCCAGCCAGCGGATCCTAGACTAGTTCCCGTACATGTATTAATACATGTAGCGGTAGTTTTGCGCTTCCGAGGCCACCCGTACCGTACGGTATGTACCAGTACGGTAGCTGGAGAAATACAACAGGAAAAGCTTCCACACTTACAGATTTAATGACAGTGACTGATTGAGGATTTAACGAACGCCCACCACGCATAGACCGAAAGCTCAAATTTCGCTCACCATAACAGCTTCGGCCATGGCGAGGGTGAGATTGAGAAGTCGTCCACCCGACACCGTCGCGCCTATTCGATTGACTCCGCGCCTGTTGCTTTTTCTACTTGGATCAATCATCGCAATCAATGTTATCGTCGTCCATTGGGCAACCGGCGGCAGCCAGCTGGCTGAGTTTGGGCAACAAAGCCAAACCGAGGGTGTACGCGCCCTCTTCTTTGGTCAGCCCCGCCGACCGGTGATACCATTCATCGTCTCAATGACAACCTGTGGCGAAGATCCTTTTATGGAAGGCGCTGCTGTTTTGAAATACTCCATTCACTTGGCATCCATTCATGGCAACATGGGGGGCAAGTATGACTACAAAATGATAGCAATCCACCACCCAAATGCAACTGAATGTGCAAAGTCATTGCTGGACTTGGGATTCCAGCTGGTGGAGAGACCAACCCCTGTCAAGGTAGAAGAAATTGAGGGAGAAGTGCTGAGAAGAAAAATTGTAAAAAATGGATGTTGTGGGGAAAAGGAACTCATCAAGTTGGAGGCCCTCACATTTACGGAATACCCTATTGTGGTTCATCTGGACATGGATGTCATAATTCGAAAGCCACTAGATGCTCTCTTTGATGCAATGCTGGATGAAACGGGAGATTTGACAAAATACAAAGACAATCTGAATGTCATGTGGCCCAATCAGACCTTCCCCAACAAGATCAACGCCTTTTTCACACGAGACTGTAAGTTTCGTCTAGCTAACCATTGGCAGGCAACTGGCATGTTTTGCAATGATGGATGCGGTACTAGTACGTCCTAACGTCTTTACAATTCTCGATTCCTGATTATCCCACAAAGTCAACATGATTGGATACAGTAGAAAGTACAAACCAGTGCAAGGAGGATTCCTTGTGCTGAGACCTAGCATGGAGATCTACAATGAGATGGTGGCCATCGTGAAAAGCGGAGACTTTGATGAAAAGGGAGGCTGGGGAAACACAATAGGACTCTTCTATGGCTGCATGACTATTCAAGGTAAGCTGACTAGATATCTCAATGACAAAGGGCTGAAGCCAGGTTACATTTCAATGGCTTGATGGGCTCTCCTATGTACATCGTCTGATGAGTCCGATTGGATGTTCTCCCTGGTTTGTTGGTCGTGTTTGCAGGCCTCTTTCCCTACTACTACGATGTTCTCCATCCAGGCCAAGTTGTAGATCTAAACCACTGTCTTTATAATTCAATGGCTGATGGGCCAAGGGGCGAGAACAAGAAGCCATCCAAACCTGGCAAATGCAAGACAGGGCAAGAGGAATGTGAGGACTGTCGAGATCGACAGATTGACGAACTTATATCCATACACTATACAATCTGCTTGAAACCCTGGCACTGTGTGGCACATCATCAGGGCGGACCGGAGCATGAAATGTGCCGAAAGATGCATCAGGAATGGTTTCGAATCCGGTCCAGTCTCGAAGTGGCATGGGGCCACAGTGCGACTGGCACGGGCAAGTGGTATTATGAGATTTTCAGCGGCTTTTGCAAACGGCATGGGAAGAAAGGATACTTTCCAATCTCGAGACCCTATCTTCCCTCATTTGGGCAGCTACCCGACAGTTGAGTTGCCGGGATATTTATTGGGTCCTCCCACAACATTGGCTGGTTAGGTGCCTTCGTCGAGGCCTCATAATGCGATCCACAATGTACGACAGCCGGCGGAATTCACGCGTAGTCAAAGCAAAGCCTATGATACATCAAGGATACTCAAAACTGCACCGAACCGACGCATCGCTCTTTGGGCATCGATGGCTCTCCCTGCGATGAGTACTAGTGTGCAGGCAGACACGCCTCGCAGTACATGTAGCCAATTTGATTACCAGCAGATTGCTCTAGAATTAGAAGACGTAAAGCTAGTCGTTTCAAGTTTACCACCGCTATGTACCGGTAGGCAGAGTCGAAGGCAATACATGACAGCCTAAAGCTTCGTGTCAACGGTTGTACCGAACACCACAATACCTCTCCTTTGAGAGGCTTCTATCAATACCGGTACCGTGTTTAGAAATGTTTGACAACGGCACGGAGACACTTTCCAGAATGCAGAGCATCAATGGCCTCATTGGTCTTTCCGACTCCTTCAAAGTTGTGGGTGATGAAGTGATCCACAGGCAACTCTCCACTCATGCATTTGTCTACAAGCATCGGGATATCGCGTCTCGACTTGAAACCTCCAAAGGCAGTTCCTACATGTAGACAAGGTTTGGATTGTGAGCAATGGAGTGCCAACAAAGTCTCCTCTGCAAGGCACCTCAACAGCTCCCCAATCAACTAATACCTCTACTTCCTCTAACTTACCTTTCCAGACACGACCAGTGACCAATTGAAAGGGACGCGTCGAGATTTCATGTCCCGATGCAGCAACACCAATGACACAACTCACCCCCCATCCACGATGAGCACATTCCAACGCTGATCGCATGACTTCGGTATTACCGGTGCAATCAAACGTGTAGTCGACCCCCCATTTGGTCATGGTTCCGGCAATATACTTTTGAACGGGTCCTTCGACTTCCTTGGGATTGACAAAGTCCGTGGCACCCAACTGTTTCGCCAGGTCAAACTTGCCGGAATTCACGTCAACGCCAATAATTTTGGAGGCACCCGCCGCCTTGGCGCCTTGAATGACAGCCAATCCGACCGCTCCCAATCCAAAGACGGCGACACTGGAATTGACTTCTACCTGACAGGTATTCCATACAGCACCCAGTCCGGTACTGATACCACATCCAAAGAGACACATTTTTTCCAACGGTGCGTCCTTGTTAATTTTGGCACAACTAATTTCCGCCAGCACCGTGTATTCACTCATGGTGGAGCATCCCATGAAATGAAAAATTTCCTTGCCGTCCTTATCGGTAAATCGAGTCGTCCCATCGGGCATGACGCCCTGTCCTTGTGTGGATCGAATGGCCGGACAGAGATTGGTTTTGGGCGATTGACAAAAGATACACGAGGGTTGACAACATTGCGGCGTGTACGCTGGAATGACGTGATCTCCTACTGCGACGGAAGTCACACCTTCACCGACGGATTCGACAATGCAGCCGGCTTCGTGTCCCAAAATAGAGGGGAACAATCCTTCCGGATCCAATCCGTCGAGGGTGTAAATGTCCGTATGACACAACGCATTGGCCATGACCTTGACACGGACTTCGCCTGCTTTGGGGGGAGCCACAGTGATGGTCTCTTCTACCAACGGTGACTTGGCGGCACGAGCCACCATGGCCTTGCAGGTAATTGGTTTGCCGGCAGTGTCGCTCATTGTTTCTAGTTTCTTTCAAATCTTTCTTGCTTTAGCTCAATGAATCTATTGCTCTTCTATGGCGGGTTGTGTTGTCGAGAATCGAATCCAATTTGTGGATTGTGGATCCTGCTGCATGCTTGGATATCGTCATGATGGATCCTTTCTAATTTTAACGCGATTGTCTATACCAGTATTCACATACATGTATTGCAAATTGAATTGTGCAGGAAGATGACGGGTCAAGAGGCAACTGAAGGGTATAGTTAGAGTAGCAATAAAAATGGAAATATTGTAGCAGGAGCGGCAATATCTTTTTTGTGCCACAATGAACGATCAATCGACCCCACGTTTTACAGTGTTGTGACTTGTGCCAGACACTGTCATCGAACGATGATCAAAGACATCATCGACCTCATTTCTTCTTCACTTTCTGCTGTGACATGCGATGATGGGACGATGATACATGTAGGATAAGACCACATACGGTACATCATCCTATGTATAAAGGATGGTGAAAGCAAAGTTCAGCAGACGAGGAGTGGAAACTCCATCTCATCATTCCTCCCATCATGGCTCTTCTGTTCGAATACGACCTTCCTGGATTTTGTTTGCGGTCATGACACTGCTCGTCGTCTTTTATGTGCGACTATTTGTCCGGTTGGACGAACACACGCGGGAACTCCTCAATCCAATGCTGTTGTCCATCATGGCACCGCCCACAACAACTACTACTACTAGTAATACCATTGGCTACTTTGTCTCCATTACGAAATGTCCCGATCCTTCCATTACACAGGCTCCCTTGGCGGATGGGGCGGCCGTCCTTCAACACTCCATTCACTTGGTGCACGGCAATAGTAAGTACGAGTACAAAATGCACGCCATTTACCATCCAACAGCAGCGGCGTGTGTGCCACCTCTGGCCCAACTGGGATACCAACTCGTGGAGAGACCAACACCCGTCCAAATAGACGAAATTCAGGGAGAATTCTTGCGCAGTCGCATCCAAGGCAATGGATGCTGTGGAGAAAAGGAACTCATCAAGTTGGAGGCACTCACATTCACCGAATTCCCCATTGTGGTGCATGTCGATCTCGATGTGCTCATTTTGAAACCCCTGGATGATTTGTTTGATGCCATGCTGCAGCAGACATCATCACCACCAGACAATAATGATGATGACCCAGTGGCCAAAATACAACGCATGTGGCCCGACGATCCAGTGCCAGAGAAAATAAATGCCTTTTTTACACGAGATTGTGAGTATCACTTACTTGTTGCTTTTTGATAATGCAATGTCAATCTGCCATGCTGACTGGAGTTGCCACTACTATACCTTTTCAAAGACGGCGTTGTCAACTGGAACATTCCATACAAGCCTGCCCAAGGAGGATTCCTTATCCTGAGACCCGACAAATCCGTCTACGAGGAATACCTGGCAATCGTCAGGGAAGGAAACTTTCAGCAATTCAAAGGATGGGGTGGCTTGGTGGGGCCATTCTATGGGGCCATGACGGTGCAGGGGTTGATTCCCTACTATTTTGATGTATTGCATCCTGGAGAGACCGTAGTACTTAACAATTGTGTCTACAACAACATGAGCAACAACCCAACGGACCAACCCACCATCAAGGAGGTATTGCAGGGCAAATGCCGCAGTGGAAAGACAATGGATCAATGTGAGGATTGTCGAAGGCGACCGTTGGAGGATATTGTGTCGGCCCATTTTACACTCTGCCAGAAACCATGGTTTTGCTTGCCCTTTGCGCAAGACAAGGTGGATCACAGACAGTGTCGCAAGCTGGTACATGAATGGTTCCGGATTCGATCCGATCTGGAGAAAAAGTGGGGGAGAAGTGGAATGGGATCAGCGGGAACGACAACGTGGGTACACCGAGACCAATTTTATGGTTACTGCAGCCAAACGGGCAAGGAGGCATACATACCTATTGAGCAGCCGTACGGGAAGCCTACACAATAATAGCGACGGCAGGACAACAATCGACATAGCTTTGGGCGGACCTGCTTCTGTTTTCAAGGCTTCGTGTCAGGTTGTGGCAGCAGGAGAGGATGGCTGATTGTTGAGGAAAGACGGCAGCCACTTCTTGCCTGGTTCCGCCTTGCTGCCTTACTGTCAACGCATTATGAACCGGAGAGGGACCGAGCGTAGTGATGGCCGCTTCCCTTGCTATGCTACGTACAATCTTCCATGGGGGCAGAACCTTCGACACACTATATGGTTGAAATCATATTGTAGAGTACAGCGAGTGCTCTACCGGTGATTCTACTTGTTGGCGTCAGGGTCAGCTTGTCAATGGCGACGCAGCTCATAGTCAGCTATGTAACGACCTACACGAGCAATCTCGTCTGTCGACCGCTGGTGAGGCACAATCATGTCACCTTTCATATATCAATGTGATTAGATTCAAACCGGGAGGGTACAACCGGCCCGCTAAGGTTCCGCCTTGCTTCTACTGTTGCCCCTGGTACCGCTAGGCCGGTGCGTAGATCTCCTATTGCCCTGAGTCTTCTCCGCAGCACATTCTCAGCAACAATCGAAAGCGCCCAACGCAATGCAATCCATACAGCAGCAGCACAATGTACAGTGCTTCGAGGGTTCACAACAGAGTTCACATGGACCTCAAGCAAATGTTCGTGACAACCCTCTCAGAGTGCCGCTCATTCGCGAGAGAAATATGTGTGCAACCTTCATTATACCATCGCCTTTTGCGTTGCATGCACAGAGTTCACAGAATGTCATGTCTTGACCAACAAAATGATACTCGGTGCAAACCATCGAGTCACAAGAGGCGCATTGGTACGACTGTAGGTAACACACGCGTCATCATCGCTTCCAATTGTAACGGCAAACCTCGGTATGACAGGTCCCACAAGGGGTACAGTCACCTTGGCAGTATCCAGTTCCGGATTGGGCACGCGTGTCACAGTCTCCGATTTGATCGCCCCCGCAAGAGACACATGCGACGTTGCCACAGCCATGGCCGGTGTTGCCCTTCGTACAGAGGTTCCCGTGTTGATTCTGCCAAAGCACTATCAGCCCGAGTAGAGGCTTTGTGGCCCCTGTTCGAGCCGGGAGCAACCCAAGGTTGCAACCTAGAACCTATTGAAAAGTGATGTTCATACCAAAGTTTAAAAGTTTAGTACCTAGCAGCAGCATTCAAAATGCATGGGAGTGGAGTCAATCCTGTTTCCATTGAGACTTTGTTTCACCCAGCAGAAATGTCGATCCCTCCTACTTAGTAAAACGAAGAGGAAACAGCTGGCTGTGGCCATTTTCATTGGATTTTATTGAAACTTGAATAGTAAAATTGGAGGAGATGCAGCATCATCCATACTTTGTAGCTCCCACCCAAGATGTGCTGGAAAATCAGTTGCATTACATTGAATTTTGTAGAATTCAACCAGTGCTGTCAGGTTTGGATCCGAATTTGTTAGAATGTCAATGTACCACCAGTGCTGGACATGTGACGATAGATCCAGAATTTACAATCCTTGCCATCATATGTCCCTTGCGTGCTAAATTTGGGTA